AAAATGTAAATGTTAAAAAAAGGGAAAGAAATATGTTTCAATCTCACTGATTAGAAATATTGTGTATCTGTGTAACATATGAAATGAAGAATGTGTATGGAACCGTATACTGTATAAGAAGGCTAAGCCAAGATGAGCCAGTTTAATTAAAGTTTCTATGAGGATTTCAAATAAAAAAAATTAAATTTATATGCCTCAGAAAACCAATACAATGCAATGTATTCATAGAACCTTTATTTAATAGGAATGCGTCAGTTATTGGTTCAGACAGAAAATACTGGTAATCTGTTACTTCGTCAGTTAAAAAAGCAATAGACACTAAATCACATAGATAATTGACACAATTGCATTAATCATATGTGGACAGAGGGGTTTTCATTGCAATCCAAATATCTCTTGTAACCAAGTTGTTTTAAAAAATATTAACTGCCAACATTTTGATAATAAATATAAGTGTGTATTTTTTTGTGAACTATTGATCACATATTGCAACACTGAAATTCTAAATTTAAAAGATTGATTAACATAAACCATAGGCACTTTGTAATGTGTTGGCCTAATTCAAGCAATTCATTTTCAAGGTAATTAGGAGACAAAAGTATATTGGTCTATATATAGGCACTACACTAAATACAAATGAGCTGAGCTAAATACTAAGTTGGCACTTTATAAATACTAGTGCTACTGGTAATAACAATGTATATTGCTTGTTTTATCGACTGGGCTATGTGGATAAAAAATATAGGCCTTGATTTAATTGATGATTTCAAATTTTTGTCTAAACTTTTAAAATGTTTTTTTTTTAATATTAAAAGTATATATCATCTATAAAAAAAATATTTTAATATATTGAAAAATATCAAAATATTATTTTAAACATTTATCCAAGACATTTACATTTTTAAAAATGATATCCAAACATAATAAAATTGAGGTAATAGCGCATAATGTGAGATGTACTAATATCATTTACCTATAACATCTAGCTCTAAAAGCAATATACCAAAAGCTAAATATCACAAGCAAGGTTAGAATTAAACACAGCAAAAAAGTTAACACAAGGTATAGGTGATTTTTAATGTTTTAATTAATTATGTAAATTTTAGAATAGTGACAGTAACTCTTTAAATTACTCTTACACTGTATTCCATCCAGTTACAAGACATTGAAGAGATTTTATGCCAGGTTTTTTTTACTGAATCTGAAGAAGAAATTCTGATCTAAGCAACTAGCTTTGTTTGTATTTATTTTTTTCAATTATAGCACACAGAATAATGATGATATCATGCCCTGCCCATCACATAAAGACACTTCTCAATAAAAGAAACAAACCTATATAGAATTCGCTAGTATATATAAATATCTTGTCTTTTTCTAAAAAGATACATATATATATATCTACATATTCAGATAATATTCCATCTCATTGTACAAGGATGGCTTCCATTAACGTCACAGTAATGGGTTAGGATCTCTTGTAACTAGATATATATCCCTGTATGACTTATGATGACCATGGAATAGAATAGCAAACAGGTTTCATACCTATTAAAGCATATTGAAAGTTAGTTTTAGTATGTCCACAAGGTCAATCTCCAAATATAATCAATTTTCCACAAACTCTGGAGTAATGCATACACACAGGACTTAGATCCACAGGAAGTAAGGTCATACCTAGTTTTCTATGGTGACCCCAATCCTTTGCTGCATGAAATGTAGTGGTCCAACCACACAAATATGTGCGCAAAATAGACGGATAACAGCAACTCAAATTCAAAATAAAAAGTTAATCTACTTTATTCTTCCATGTATGGTTATTAAAATTAATTCAGCAATATGTGGCATACAATGTGACAGATTACAGCAGTTTATGCGTTTCTTACCCTTGTACTTAAACCAAACTCCACAAGGTCAATAGAGAACATTTATTTTACATTTGTATAGTAGATATTGTAACATTTTGTATATGATTTGATCACTAATTAAAACACATATTAGCTTCAAGTATTTTTGTCACATAATGATCTAATCATAATCGGAATGGTTAGAATGATGCTGGCGAGAAACTGCCACATTACACCAAAAGGGCAATATTATCCTACCAAGTCCTATAAGTATTAAACAACACTGTCTATGGCAAATCACTGGTTTGGCAAAATGCAGATTAACAAACAGCACACACACACATACACACACAAAAAAATAATGTTTTGAATTCTACAAGGCTACTATCTTAGCAAACAAATATGGGGATTCAGTTCCACCATATGGCCATATCGTTTAAAATCCACCACTACGACATTGTACCTAATATTGGTGGGTCCTACACTAATGCACAGGTTAAGTGACACAGTTATACAAAATGTAACATGCGGAGAGACACTTAATATAATTACTACCACAATTATGGGTGCTACTCCAACAAGGTACTCCCTCCAATACCAATAAACAAATACTCAAAAAGAAAGGAATGCACACCAACTGATACAATAGTATCTATCTAAATATATTTATTATAATACAATGCAATTATTACATACACAAATTGTAACAATCTGATAGTGACCAAATAGGCAAAAAAAGGCTAAACCATATAATTACCAAATCTCACAAGCCTATATGGGCAGAAACACGAGTCACAAACAGTCCCCCAACGTTTCGGCTCCTCCTGGCAGCCTTTATCAAGGGTAGCTATATCATAGCATCATCCAGGAACCCATTATATACACATATACAACTTACTAATTACTTACAGCTGATGGCCATCAGTGATATCACAAAGAGCCAAGACCGGAAGTGACATCATCACTTCAGATCATAGCCCTGTATAAAGAATTAAATAACATACATAGTTATTGTACATTCCCAATGTTATTCCCAAACTGACTGCCTCATTGATGCAAAAAATGTCCCACTACTGTACAATCCACAAACCTTCTCGCCAGTCTAAATGAAACGCGCATGCGCAATACAAACAAAAACGATCACCACATCGTCCACTGGCACCACAAACATACCAACATTAATATACTCCACATAACCCCAAGGAAATACCAAGCACTAAAGCTCTACATAAACAATAACAAAACGCGCATTTCACCTTATTTTGCTCGGCCAATCATACCGGGGTTCCCTTCCTACGGAAGCCTCCGAGATCCACATCTAATAGAAAGTCGCATCAAAAGAGCACCGCGCCGCTCGCGCATGCGCATCCCCCAAATTAAAGGAATGTATGCAAATTGTCAATACACTGACCAGCTCTCTTAAAGGGAAAATGTCATAAACATAAGAATTACTTCCAATATAACATAATAAGTGTATAAATGGTCCTGTAGTATAGCAGAACAAATAAATAATATCTATAACAGTGAAAAATACCTCCACCAAAATATTACCACCAAAACAATATATAATTACTATACTAAACTAGTGTTTATACATCCATTGTATACAAAACATACATCCAGCACCTACCGAACGATCAAATCACTCCCCAAAAGGGAAATGTAATACAAAAGAATCATATATCATACACAGCAAACAGGTACATATGTATTTTTTAAAAAAACCTTCTATGTACAACTACCAAATTTTATTAGATCTACTACCATCATCTCGATACTAACTCATCATATTATTCAACAACTTTTGGTAACATCAGCATATAACGCTTCTTCTTGAATGGTAAAAAACCTACATATCCATTAGCAATCATATACATAAGGATAATCAATCCAAATTATAACAATATCCAATAGATCACATCGTCGTCATCCAATCGCAGATCCAATAAATGAATCCAAATACAGGCTGCATCCATCCAATTACTGAACACACTTAACGGGATCCAATGTCCACAAAAGAAGTTATACATCATTCTTGATCTGATACATGCTGTAGTCCAGGTCCCCATTACATAAAATATCCAAATGGAGATCCATACACGATCTAGATGAAAATAAACACCAATTAAAAACAATATCAATGATATAAACACTACTCAGGCAGAGTGGATAAACCAGCCTCTCTAAACGAGGCTATAACAAAGGAGAGAGATCACGTTCTTCATTAAGACCCTTAGGGAATAGAACTTGCAACTCATAAATCCAAAATAATTCCCGCTGCTTCAATAGCATTTCCCTGGATCCACCTCTTCTCAGCGGTTTCACTACCTCTAGAATCGAATATCTCAATTGTGACACCATATGTCGCATCTCCACAAAATGCCTCGCCACTGGATATTGAATCTTCCCAGTACGAATACTACTCTTATGTTCCCCTATCCTAATGGTGAATTTTCTTGTGGTCTCCCCAACATAGGCTAAGCCACAAGGGCATTTTAGCATGTAAACTACAAACTCTGTTTGACAGTTACAAAAATCCCGAACGGGATATTGCTTCCCAGATCTAGGGTGAAAAAAGGAATCGCCCAGAATTACCCCATTACAGTTCACACAATGTCCACATTTGTACATACCAACAGGCATTCTAAGCCACGATTCCTTAGTCCCACTCTTTCCTTGGACTTCCACATTCCGCATTAAATGATCGCGAAAGTTTCTGTGTCTTTTAAAAGAAAACAAAGGTTTCTCGTTAAAACAAGTCCTAATTTTGGGATCTGATTGTAATATGTTCCAATGCTGATTCACAATATGTTTAATCTCCTTCGAATGTTCAGAATAGGTGGTAACACATGGTATCCTCATGTTCCTATCTTTAGCTTTTTTAATTAAAAGCTGTTCCCTGGCCAATAATCTAGCCTGAATCTTACATTCCATCAAAGTATCCTTCTCATAACCCCTTGAGGTAAATGCCTGCACCAATTCATCTGCCCGTCTATCATAATCCGTATCACGTGATGTAATTCGTCGAGTTCTAATAAATTGCCCATATGGTAATTTTCGCAAAAATTGTGGTGGATGGAAACTATCAGCATGTAAATATGATGCGCGATCAGTGGGTTTCTGATAAAGATCAAAGCTCAATTGTCCTTCACTTACCTCCATGGATACATCCAAAAAGTGCATCAGATGCATATCATATTCTATAGTGAAAGATATCGTATCCAATTGATTATCCAATCTTTCCTTAAAACAGAGTAACTCTTCAACCGTACCTGTCCAAAAAAAGAAAATATCATCTATGTAGCGCACCCAATTCAACACAAATTTTATAAAGAATGGATCAGGATATACAAATGCATCCTCAAACGCCGCCATAAATAAATTGGCATATGTAGGGGCCACATTAGACCCCATCGCAGTGCCCTGTATCTGCAAGTAAAACTTGCCCTCAAATGTAAAATAATTCTTATGCAATACCAATGTCAATAACTCCAACAAAAAATCTCTATACGCTTCACTAATTTCCAGTGCTTGCATTGCTCCAAATACTGCCTCAATACCTTCTTCGTGTGGGATCGACGTATAGAGACTGTTAATGTCCATGGTGCATAATAATGCTCCTTCAGGAATCATTCTGACACATTCTAGTTTCTTAATAAAATCTGTCGTGTCTTGCACAAATGAGCGCATATTGAAGACCAGAGATTGCAAATGTATATCAACAAATTTTGATAATGGTTGTAAAACCGATCCACATCCTGACACTATAGGGCGACCAGGAGGGTACCTCAAGTTCTTATGTATCTTCGGGAGCAGGTAAATAAAAGGGATTTTGGGATAATCCGTGTTCAAAAAATTATAATCCCTTTTCTCAATTAACTGTTTCTCCAAGGCCACACCTGTAATTACCTTAATTCGCTCCTTTAACTCACCTGTAGGATCATATCCCAAAATTCTATAGTGACTTCCATTGGTCAATTGACGATTCATCTCAGCAACGTATTCACTCGTATTCATCACCACCAATGCTCCACCCTTGTCAGCAGGTCTAATAGAAATGGTAACGTCTTTTCTCAGTCCCATAAGTGTAGCATATTCATGCCTACTCAAATTCGGCTTCCCCTTCTTCTTCCAATTAATTTTATCCATATCCATCTGACATAATTTGATAAATGTTTCCACACTCGCATTAATGGAAGGAGGAAGGAACATGCTCTTAGGCTTACACTTATGCCTATCAAATTTAGAAGACTCAGCCATCTTAACCCCTTCTTGAACTATAGGGGTATCCTGTAATTGAAAAAAACTTTTTAAACGTATAGTCCGAAAAAAACGTTCCATCTCTATGTCCATAGTGAGCTTATCACCACTAAAGGTGGGTACAAACCCAAAACCTTTTTCCAAGACACTCACCTCGGCTTGAGATAAAACTCTGTCAGAAATATTCACTACCAGTGTTTCCGCTGTTGTCTCATGCGCCCCGGATATCTCCTCTTTGGTTCGGTCACAGTTGGCACCGGTCTGTGTGTGTCTCCTCGACCTCTTACCACGTCTCCTCCTAGGGGTACCCCTAAAAAAGCACTTCTTCCAGATTCAGATTCTCCAGAAGAAACCTCTGGACCTGACACACTAATATCAGAATTATCTTTTTTACTACGCCTTTGAAAATAGCGCCCAGAATGTGTTTGCCGCCAAGTATACACTTTATCTTCCAAATAATCAACAGTATCCCTTCGAAACTTATCCAATTTCCTCTCTAGAATCTCTTCTCTATACTTTGGTAATTTAACCGATATTGCAGCAAGTTTCCCTTCAACAACCGCCTTATCTTGACCTTCAGCCAATTTCTGCTTCGTATCAGAGAGCAATTTCTCAAACTCTGATAACTCTTGTTGCAAACCTTCCACTGTTAACGTTATAAGATCCAAACTACACTTGTTCAATACTTTATACCAGTTTCTACAGAACTCCTGATTAGATTTACAAAAGCTAGGTCTAATATTCAATCTTAACCCACGTGGGATCCTTTTTACCCTTAAATATTCGACCAAAGTCTCAGAGTGTAGTTGATAATTAATCAATTTCTTTTCAAGATATTCAATCCGCCTATATAATGATGTCTGGTCAGTCACGAACACACTCTCCTGTGTACTATATTTAGCAATAATCGCATCCACCTCTGCCTGAGTATAGACACGTGTTTCTGCCCGCTTGTCACTAATGCCACCAATGTCAGCAAACGACATTATCTCTCTAACACACGCAAGGGACTAATAATAGTCATACAAAATGTAACATGCGGAGAGACACTTAATATAATTACTACCACAATTATGGGTGCTACTCCAACAAGGTACTCCCTCCAATACCAATAAACAAATACTCAAAAAGAAAGGAATGCACACCAACTGATACAATAGTATCTATCTAAATATATTTATTATAATACAATGCAATTATTACATACACAAATTGTAACAATCTGATAGTGACCAAATAGGCAAAAAAAGGCTAAACCATATAATTACCAAATCTCACAAGCCTATATGGGCAGAAACCCGAGTCACAAACAGTCCCCCAACGTTTCGGCTCCTCCTGGCAGCCTTTATCAAGGGTAGCTATATCATAGCATCATCCAGGAACCCATTATATACACATATACAACTTACTAATTACTTACAGCTGATGGCCATCAGTGATATCACAAAGAGCCAAGACCGGAAGTGACATCATCACTTCAGATCATAGCCCTGTATAAAGAATTAAATAACATACATAGTTATTGTACATTCCCAATGTTATTCCCAAACTGACTGCCTCATTGATGCAAAAAATGTCCCACTACTGTACAATCCACAAACCTTCTCGCCAGTCTAAATGAAACGCGCATGCGCAATACAAACAAAAACGATCACCACATCGTCCACTGGCACCACAAACATACCAACATTAATATACTCCACATAACCCCAAGGAAATACCAAGCACTAAAGCTCTACATAAACAATAACAAAACGCGCATTTCACCTTATTTTGCTCGGCCAATCATACCGGGGTTCCCTTCCTACGGAAGCCTCCGAGATCCACATCTAATAGAAAGTCGCATCAAAAGAGCACCGCGCCGCTCGCGCATGCGCATCCCCCAAATTAAAGGAATGTATGCAAATTGTCAATACACTGACCAGCTCTCTTAAAGGGAAAATGTCATAAACATAAGAATTACTTCCAATATAACATAATAAGTGTATAAATGGTCCTGTAGTATAGCAGAACAAATAAATAATATCTATAACAGTGAAAAATACCTCCACCAAAATATTACCACCAAAACAATATATAATTACTATACTAAACTAGTGTTTATACATCCATTGTATACAAAACATACATCCAGCACCTACCGAACGATCAAATCACTCCCCAAAAGGGAAATGTAATACAAAAGAATCATATATCATACACAGCAAACAGGTACATATTGATATTGTTTTTAATTGGTGTTTATTTTCATCTAGATCGTGTATGGATCTCCATTTGGATATTTTATGTAATGGGGACCTGGACTACAGCATGTATCAGATCAAGAATGATGTATAACTTCTTTTGTGGACATTGGATCCCGTTAAGTGTGTTCAGTAATTGGATGGATGCAGCCTGTATTTGGATTCATTTATTGGATCTGCGATTGGATGACGACGATGTGATCTATTGGATATTGTTATAATTTGGATTGATTATCCTTATGTATATGATTGCTAATGGATATGTAGGTTTTTTACCATTCAAGAAGAAGCGTTATATGCTGATGTTACCAAAAGTTGTTGAATAATATGATGAGTTAGTATCGAGATGATGGTAGTAGATCTAATAAAATTTGGTAGTTGTACATAGAAGGTTTTTTTAAAAAATACATATGTACCTGTTTGCTGTGTATGATATATGATTCTTTTGTATTACATTTCCCTTTTGGGGAGTGATTTGATCGTTCGGTAGGTGCTGGATGTATGTTTTGTATACAATGGATGTATAAACACTAGTTTAGTATAGTAATTATATATTGTTTTGGTGGTAATATTTTGGTGGAGGTATTTTTCACTGTTATAGATATTATTTATTTGTTCTGCTATACTACAGGACCATTTATACACTTATTATGTTATATTGGAAGTAATTCTTATGTTTATGACATTTTCCCTTTAAGAGAGCTGGTCAGTGTATTGACAATTTGCATACATTCCTTTAATTTGGGGGATGCGCATGCGCGAGCGGCGCGGTGCTCTTTTGATGCGACTTTCTATTAGATGTGGATCTCGGAGGCTTCCGTAGGAAGGGAACCCCGGTATGATTGGCCGAGCAAAATAAGGTGAAATGCGCGTTTTGTTATTGTTTATGTAGAGCTTTAGTGCTTGGTATTTCCTTGGGGTTATGTGGAGTATATTAATGTTGGTATGTTTGTGGTGCCAGTGGACGATGTGGTGATCGTTTTTGTTTGTATTGCGCATGCGCGTTTCATTTAGACTGGCGAGAAGGTTTGTGGATTGTACAGTAGTGGGACATTTTTTGCATCAATGAGGCAGTCAGTTTGGGAATAACATTGGGAATGTACAATAACTATGTATGTTATTTAATTCTTTATACAGGGCTATGATCTGAAGTGATGATGTCACTTCCGGTCTTGGCTCTTTGTGATATCACTGATGGCCATCAGCTGTAAGTAATTAGTAAGTTGTATATGTGTATATAATGGGTTCCTGGATGATGCTATGATATAGCTACCCTTGATAAAGGCTGCCAGGAGGAGCCGAAACGTTGGGGGACTGTTTGTGACTCGTGTTTCTGCCCATATAGGCTTGTGAGATTTGGTAATTATATGGTTTAGCCTTTTTTTGCCTATTTGGTCACTATCAGATTGTTACAATTTGTGTATGTAATAATTGCATTGTATTATAATAAATATATTTAGATAGATACTATTGTATCAGTTGGTGTGCATTCCTTTCTTTTTGAGTAAGTGACACAGTTACACTTACCAATGGTGGACATTATCCAACATACAAATATTTACATTTGTAAGAAGCTATATTCCTCAAAGTACTATGGTTTGATACAGAGAGTCCCTAGAACCGACAGGTTCATCTCACAGCATGATTTAAACATAGGAGACACACATGCTACTTGGAAGCAAAAATGCTAATTGCAATACTTTTTGCTTAACCTGCTCCTAGAGACTCTCCTCAAATATATGCTTTCATGCAGTCACTTTCGAAGGGGCTTCTATGGTGGAGTTGTGGGATGCTCAACCCAACCAAAATCATTGGTTTAAACCACTAACATAAAATTAATGAGCTGGCATAAAAAGCTATGTTCTAAAGCAGGGATAGGCAACCTTCGGCACTCCAGATGTTGTGGGCTACATCCCCCATAATGCTCTTACACACATAATGCTGGCAAAACATCAAGGGAGGAGTAGTCCAAAACATCTGCAGTGCCGAAGGTTGCCTATGCCTGTTTTAAAGCAACAGAGAATGAGCTCATGGGAAGCCATTGAGTGCTTAGTTTTGGATTTATATATTGCATTGTCAACATTTATAAACACTGTATTCTGTTTGTATGGTTATTTGTATGGTTGATTTTTTAATCTCCCTGTTACTAACATGGCAGTAGCTTATTTTTCATTCTCTGTTGCTAATTATTAAGATCTGGGAGGCCCTAAAATGAATTTTAATTAATTTTATCATTTTAGCCGTGTCTAACAAATCCCATGAAAATATCCTGTTTGCATGAAAATCATATTGAACATTAAAACAGTAGCACATTAAAATAAATAAATGTTTTATTGAATTACCCTGAAGAAGTTCTAATGGCTAAATCACATGATGTTTTTACTGCTCTTTTGATTTCATTTATTACATCTGTCGAGGGCTACTTAATTTTGTAGCATCAACATTCATTGAGAAACCTCTATCCAGCTTGGTCCTGGGGTTCAACAGAAGGAATTCCTTTTTAGAAGAGCAGAACATTTATATTGTTAGGGTTTGAAACGTTTCTAATATTTGACTGAATGGCAAGTGGATGCAATCGAATACCACATAAATTACAGTATTGCAATAAAGATGCATAACTTTTGTTTAAGTTAAAATGTTAAAGTCAACATTTTTTAAAATTAATATAATTAATGAAAAATCAACATATGGTCATTCTTTGTTTAGTCTCCTATATCTAACTCTGCTGTATGGTTGGTCCTGATTCATTTGCCAAAGTAAAGTTAGCATTACCGTGACTCACACTGAAAGAATTTGTAGCAAATACCTTACCTCACAGCAAAGAGCTCACAGTAAGTGTTCTAGCCAATAGTTCTCGCAAAAGATGTGCACCTTTGGAAAATAATATATATTGTAATTAATTATTTATGTGAAAATGTCCATATTAATGTAAAATGCTCGAGACATGATCTGATTGACTAATCTAGATAAGATCACAATGATTTAATGTAGTATTAGCTGATTATTTTCTGAGTGACATACTAAGATTGTTATAACTTGCCTTGACATATCTTGTGTGACCATCATCACAGTCGGGCTTCACATGGGTTACTACACCGATCATCACCCTTCTCTTTTATTTACTGTATGTGTTGTCCTAGAAATGTTTTCCACATTTGTCTCTGTTTGTATTTGCTATGCATTATTTCTTCATGTGAGCACATTTGAACAACATTTTCAGTTAAAGGAACACTATAGGGTCAGGAACACAAACATGTATTCCTGATCCTATATTGTTTAACTCACCATTTAGGTGGATTGCCCTCCCTTAGTCCCCGTGTAAAAGTTTAAAACTCCCCTTATTTCTAGCACTGCATAGGTCCCATAGGGAAAGCATTGGATTGGCTAAAATCAGCATGGAGGTGGGGCCAAATGTCATTTTGGCCAATTAGAACCTCTTCATAGAGATTAATTGAGTCAGTGCATCTCTATGTGGAAAATTCAGTGTCTCCATGCAGAGCGTGGGGCGCTGAACGTCAGGGCTGCTTTTTCAGCAGCACTGACCCAGGAAGCACCTCCAGTGGCCATCTAAGAAGTGGCCACTTGGAGGTGTCCCTAGAGGCAATGTAAACACTGCCTTTTCTCTGAAATGCAGTGTTTGCATGAAAAAAAAGCCTGATGGGAACTATTATACTCACCAGAACAACTACATTAAGCTGTAGTTGTTCTGGTGACTGTAGTGTCCCTTCAATAGCTAATTATGTTAACTGTAATTATTGAGCCTTGTAAATGATTAACACTTATTATTCCAAAAACTTTATTTGGGTGCTTCTGAACAAACTTATACTTCACTACAACATCTGCACAATTTCTTTAAAAAATGCTAGTGAGTCTTCTGGTATCTCACACCTTGTACATTACCTGAAATGTTGTGGTGGAGGTGCAAATTAGACATTGGTAGGATTATTCACTAAAACTAACAAATTAAAACCGAATGGCAAAATTGATGCAAAATAGCTTATTTCGGGAAATTCTCCAACTCAGGTTTAATGCCAGTTGGTTAAATGTTTCTTTGTTTTCACATTCAGATTTTTGGATAAACTTTTGAAAATATGTTTAAAAATTTGAAACATATGCCCAAAAATATGAAATTGAGGACTTGATTCACTTAAAGTGATATTTTAGTGAATAATTCTGAAGGAATATGCTATGTATTTAAAACATCTCTTTTGGCAGCAAGACCACCTTTTGCCCCAAAGTATACTTTAAATGAAAACTCTCTTAACTCTCCTGTTTCTTTTCCTAAAACTATACTAGATTACATCACGGCTTATAAAATAATTACTTTTTTTACATTGTTCATTACTTACTACCACTTCAATGACACTCTGAAGATCTAATAAAGTACCCTCAATGTCTATCGTCTAATATTTGTTTCATAATTAATGTAAAGAAAGTTTTCAGTCTTTGGCTTATGTTATCTCAACATTACACAGTTAAGCTGCTAGTTAAAAAAAAAAAACAAGTTGCTCGGAAAGAACAAATTACTACAATCCAAACAATATTGCCTTTTTGTCCTAGTGGTCTGTGAGGGGGTAAAGCCTTGGTTGTTTTCACAGGGAGACTTTCTGAGATGATTGTGTGAGTACAGACTCAAGACCCCAGATTTATTTCCTTGGGTGGACTTTATTGCTATATGTCACTGTGTATATTCAGTGGCTCTCATAATATCCACGTATATCCTCTGTATCAAACTGTCTTTATATATAGTTTAGACTTTTTAAAATTTCTAATAAAGATGACATTTTTATCTCCTAAACATGTTGTTATGGTGGAATACCCAGGAATTATATACATTATAGGCGATATATGACTTGGAACCAATATATATATATATATATATATATATATATATATATATATATTTATATATATATATATATATATATATAAATTTAAAAAAAATAAAAAAACAAGA